TATTAAGAAGTGGGACATCTGTGCTGGTGCTGCACTACTGACTGAACTGGGTAACGTAGCAAAGATTTTTTTCCAGCCTGTCCTGTTTTCCCACTTCATTAAATTAACAAGAGCATTGTGAGATGGTACGTCTCAGACGAGGCTAAAAAGATCACTACACAATAAGCACGAGTCCTCGTCAAGAAGCTTCTGGTTCCAGTTTCATTTGAAAAGATTTAACACATTATCCTATTTTTATATAAGTGTCCATAATATTTTGGACAATCCAAACAGCAAACTGAACCAATCATGCAGCCTCCTTAATGAAAGTAACAGTTATTACCTTAGGCTGCATGTTGGCTTAACTACACCTAAACAGATACTTCAAAAGAAATGAAATACTAAATGCAGCTGTATTGTTGTCCAATGACCATTTCAATCATGTAATCACTGTGATTGTAGGGGGCCAAATGACAACTCTAAAGGGAGAGAACATCGACTACAGAGGAGCTCCAGAAAATGAAGGAGGACTGGTGGCCAGTGTAGGTATAGATCACGAGGCCTTACTGAAAAGACTACGAGGTAACACAGACAATGACAAGCAGTGAAACACACGGAGACAGGGCCATAGGTGGTTTGATTAGGGTGACACAGCAGCCAGCAAGAGTGGGCTGGAAACATAATCAGGCCTGCATGATTTCATCATCATGGGACACCAAACATCTACCATCAAGTTGCACTGGAGTCACAATTACCAGCATGGACAAAAGAGCAGGACTGTGGAGCCAAATTGGCTATGACTGGAAACTGCAACAGCTGGCACAATGGCTCTGAATACTCACTCCTCTGAAAGCATACTTTCTTGCAGCGTGGAGAACCGACATGTCTTCCTTTTGTCAGGAACTTGCATACAAGGACATACAGTGGAAAACAACCCCCCACCCCCCAAACTGAGGAGCACAACACTGAACACTGCAACAAAACCCACAGAGGGACATCTCTGGTGTTCATCGTCTTTATCACAACAATCAGAAGAGAAAACAAGAATAAGAAAAGAACATGTTACAGGCAAGCACACTAGAATACTCATCAAGATTGAGTAATCCCCCTCCTTATTATTATTATTAGTAGTAGTAGTACTAATAGTACCATAGTAGTATTATTTGAGACTGGGCAAATACACTCCATATGTCTTCATATCATAAACTTCCACTGTAATATGGGGTTAACTACCCTATGTTATATGAACACATCACAGTTCACTTGGTGTAATAGTTTACTTTGCTGTTCTTGATCACACTTGAGCTGCAGGTCTATCAAACTGTAGTCCAGGGTCTCTTGTAATATATACACCCATCCATCCATCCATCCTCTTCCGCTTATCCTTGTCAGGGTCGTGGGAGGGCTGCAGCCTATCTCAGCTACACTGTAAAATATATTCAGTCACGAGTCAGTCAGCACATGTATTTCACAAGATGTAGTCCAACATGTCTGCTTCTACTCCTTTAAAAATCAAAAGGCTATTTGCGGTCTGATCCTGGGACAAATACAAATTGATGATGTAGCATGCTCCTGACCTGATAGACCACCTTTGGGCTTGGACACTGAAAGCTGCTTTTTAGTCTGCGAGTTGTGACTCACGGCCTGTTTCTATTCATCCTGAGAGCTGCATGAAGGTTTGGTCGTTTCGACACAGGTTGTGATGTTTGCTCTCTGTGAAGTCCAAATATGAACTCCCAGAGAGTATGGGAGTCTGATATGACTGCAAGATTGAACAACCATACCAGATTTAAATTGGATTATTATTTTTAAATGTGTACAGTAAAGGGACTTTTTCCCACACCACATGATGTCCTTCCTTTCTCTTTCAGTGATGGGAGCTTTAATCAGCTAAAATAATGCAAAAGTTCCTATATTTCTGCATTCCTCTTCAGATTCCTGCAAATACATGAGTCAGACTTAGCGTGACGTCAGTCAGCACCTTCTCAGCTACTTCACACAGCGTCGCCTCCACCGTTTTACATACATGAGCATAACATCAAAGCTAAAGACTACAGATTATACAGCAAGGGGATCTCACCTCTGCCGAGAGCAGTGTATAAGTCCCACCACATAAGCTCAGTCAAAATCATTGACATCAATTTAAAAGCAGACCGTCACAAGAAAATCAATCGTGTGTTTCAGTGGTGTCATGTTGCCATCAGCTAAATGTAAGTTTTCTAAAAAACCTTTCATAGAGAAATGTATTTCACAGATGTGTATGTAAAACAACCCGAGATGGACTGATGTATATTGTCTCCAGTTTGAAAACAATTTCTGCTACTGTGCAGTCTACACACTTGGAAAATTAATTGACGGGAAAAACTGCTGAAATGCCGGTGCCAGATTTGGTGGACTGTACACTGACTCCATGTGCATGGTTTTGAATTTTGATTAGCCTTTTAATTCTCTTAGTACTTCATCATACTGAAAATGTTGAACCTCTTCCTGCTTACTGCTCTGAAATCTTTCTGTACCGTCTGTCTGAAGCTGGACTGTTTCACTGTGAAATAATGCTACATTGTGAAAAATCCCAGCGAAATACAAAGTCAAGGATGTGTCTTGAGCTTGTCAGTGACCTGTTCCTTTAGTTTGACTTGGGACCTTTTTGGTTGTTCCAAAAGTTCAATGGTGGGATTGGTCTGTTACAGACTGATGGTACTGCAGCTGTTTGAAGGCTGTTAGATGTTGGGTTTGCTAAGTGTAAAATATACAGTGTGACAAATTTCCATTGTACCTGATTTGAGTGTGTTTGATCTGCACTAAACTAGACTGTCAATTAATGTTTCTATGCTAACATCGGTTGATATACCACGCGTCATTCTCTGTAGGCAGTTTAAGAGGGATTAGAGAGACTTTTCAAGTACTTGGGTAATGTTTCTTTGTGTTTGTGTTTTTGTGAGTGCTGTACATTGCCTTACTTTGTGCTTTTGTGTGAGAACTGTTTTCTAAGCTGGTGGCTCCATAAGGAGCTGCAAGAAATCTAAAGTCATTTTAACACAAGAACACATGTGTGCTACATATAAGAACGTACAACTGTGGAAAATATCCTGAGCTGATTTTCTGAGGTGAAGATTTTTTCTGCATAAAGTCTGCAGTAGGTTTTTTTTTTTTTTTTAATTTTTTTAATTTACTCAAGCGTTAAATCTTTTTTCCCTTCCCAAATGGTTAGAAAATGGAAAGTAAATTCCCAGATATCTTGGCCTTGACTGAATGTGAACCAGTTGTGATGATATGTTGTTTGTTTGGAACCAGAAAACCCTGGAACTTCATGTGTGAAAATGTCTTCAAGTGATGCTATATCCATTAGTTTGTTGGTTCTACAAGAAAAGTTTTGAATTAAATAAGAAAAATATGAGAAAATATTATTAAGATAGAAGTCAGTTACAGACCTTTGTTGCCTTCTCCTCACACACTTGTAGGCAGCAGGTTTTCATTAGGAAAATCAATCTACAGTGAATCTGTAGGATACAATTATTAGACATTAAACAGGGCTACCATGCTCATAGACACCTGTAACTTTTGCTTGAATGGTGTATTCAGTTCCTTAAGCCTTGAGCACGGTGGGTGCTTTAGTAGTCGCAATGTCCTGCTCCTGTCGGACACTTTTAGAAACGATAATCAGTTGACCAAATGTTACCAAATCGTGTAACTTTTGGAAATTTACCAGAGTCCTTCCATTCTGATGTGACGTATTCAGCTGCAATGCTTCAGATGAAATGCATGTAAACCAGTGTTCACACTTCCGACCAGGGGTGGGAATTTGAATGCAATATAGACGGAGCCTACTCATCTTGAATTTGTTTTGTTTTATTCTGTGTGGTTATCTGGCTGTCCCTGCCTTTCTAACAAGAGTAGGCTCAATTTGCATTTGGTTCGGACAGGGGATTCACATTTTATTCAAAATAAAACTAATAACAAATGACTTGTGATTGGAGTGGGGTAGCAATGAGTTGATAGTCACTTCAGTTTACTCGTTTTAAATACTGTGTCTTTTATAGGACTCTGACACCTGTTTAAATCGTTCTGGTTCCAGCCATACAGAGGTCAAATCAGTTGTGTGGTTAACCTGACCACTCACTCTGCCTCTAACCAGCACATAAGGGCAATAATAATAAACTGTTTCTTTGAATTTGGAAGCTGGGTGGCATATTTATTCCAGTGTCGTCTGGGGCTTTTTACATGAAAGGGTAGTGGACAACTAAATCAGAAGCAATTAATGAAAGTTGGTGTGCTATTTAAAGGCTATGGAGTGAGGGTTACTGTCAGGTGGTTTGCTCTGTGAGTGATTAATCATTCTTTTGCTGTGAATTCTCAATAAAGCATATGTGTGCATGAAGGAATGGGCTGCGTAGTCTTTGATATTACTGTAGCAGACACATGGTAGCACTGAAATGCACTGCGTAGTCTTTGATATTACTGTAGCAGACACATGGTAGCACTGAAACGGTTCAAGCATGATATAAAAATAGCACTTTTGTAGAGTTTTAATAACATAAGAAATTCAGATAGAAGACAAAGTGTTTGAATACCTCGGTGGTTTCAGGCGTGGTGGTTCCATGGTGTAATGGTTAGCACTCTGGACTCTGAATCCAGCGATCCGAGTTCAAATCTCGGTGGAACCTGGTTATTTTTAAGCTGCATGTCAAGTTAACTCGGACGGATTTGTAATAAATACAGTTGTGGAAATAAAATATAAAATATTCCAGCGAGGAAAGTGTGACAATATTTTTTTATGAGGACCAACTTTTGGCCTGCGCAATGCGTCCATATCACACATGTCCGACGCCTTGATATATTTATTTTCACCTTGTAGACCTCGAAATGCTACCAAATGTCAATATAAATTAATCAAGGCACATGTATTTGTGTGATTATTAATTTGACTTATTTCCCAATTCTGACTATTTCGACCTATGGTCTACGCCAGCTACAATAGTTTCGAGTGAGACTTTTAATTTGAAAAGACCGGAGCACACGTCTACTGGCTAAGGCGGAAGTGGAACAACGAATGGATGTGTCCAGTGTGACCGTGTAGATAACTTTAAACAAAACATTTGCTTTTTGTACCACGAATATATACTCTTACCATCTTATCTCGCATCCATGATGTTCAACAGACAGACGAGTCTCTGGATGGGTGATGTATGTTTGAAATCCATGTTTCTGTGTGTGATCTTAGCTTAGCTATGTGTGGCGACTGCTAGCTAGGTTGAGTTAGGGTAACCTACTACTTGTAAAATGTTGGACTAAACTGTCTTCCAGTGTACAGTTTGAAAAGATTTGGTGTAACATAATTCAATAATACCACATATTAACGATTAACGACGATAAGTCATCAAACAACTCTAATGTTATTGTCTGTGGCCAGGCTCCTCCTCGTATTGTGGCGAGCTTTAGCAAGTGATGCGAGCTAATCATTAAAGTTTAAATATAACGCCAACAAAGATTAACAGATTAAGCCGTAAAAAGTGCCACACACAAAATTATTCTCTAAACTCAAAGTTGGTATAGGGTTAAGCGAAAGGACAATTTTTTTTTTTAGTTTGAAAAAAACCAAACAAAAAAACAACCTCGGTCTGGAGGCGCGCTGTGCCTGTGCTAAAGACACAGATGATCGATCAAATTCAAATTTTATTTGTCACACACACACAACCATACACAGTATGACATGGGGGTGAAATGCTTGTAGCTGTGCAATGCCCGACCATTAAATGACAGAGAAAAGTTTTACAGTATTTACAATTTACAGGTTACTACAAACATTTACAAATTAACTTAGAAATTTACAGTAAAAAAATGTGCAAATAGCAGAAAGAGATTATCAAGATTATAAATTATAGGAAGTTTAATCAGTTTTATTGGTTGTGCGTTGTGACTTTTGCTGTGGGTTTGGGCGACATCAAAATCCCAAATGTGTCGCTTTTTGTCAGTCATGTTAGTTGTGCATTTTCTCATGTGATTTCGAAACCGCTTAATTACATAGGAATGCTAAAATGAGGTTTAATTTGTGTGCGTTTGGTTATTTTTACTAAATATTCTGTAGTAGCTTCTGTAGTAGAAACAAGTATCAGTTAGGCTACGTTCACACTGCAGGTCTTAATGCTCAATTCCGATTTTTTGATCAAATCTGATTTTTTTGTCTTCTTGTTCACACTACAAATAAAATGTGACAGCAAACGCGCTCTAGTGTGAACGCTCAAAGCGGCCCGCGTGCGCAAAAGAAGACGTCACACACAACGCGGTCTGTTTAGACCCAGAGCAAACAGTATTGTTTGACTGATGGCCCTTAATGTAAAGACTTGTTTCCGGCTTTACGTTTGCCAATTTTGCTTGAAGTTATAAAGTTATTTTGTTATTTACATTTGGCCTAATAATGATCCTTATTGCTGTTTTAGAGAAGAGCGGTGCTTCAAAGGATAGTTGCAGATTTCTGTCAGAATCTGCAGATTATACAGGACAAATAAAATGTTCACGTTTCTCCAACGTTGTCTTCCCAACAGTTTCACTGACCTCTACACTGGATGGCCAGGAAGCGTTCATGATGTCTTCTCTGGCGCTGATAATTGGCGTCTGTCTTGTGTCAGTGACGTAAAAGACGGATTTAATGCGACATGACCATCAAACAGCAGTCGCTTTCTAAAACATCAGATATGTATCGGATTCAGCACCACATACGAGAGTGACCCAGATCGGATTTGAAAATTTCGGATTTGTGCTGTTCACACTGTCACACCATGATCGGATATGGGTCGCATAGGGTCAAAAAAGTCGCATTTGATGCGCTTTCGCCTAAAGTGTGAACGTAGCCTTAGAACAAAGAGCCATGCTTTGTTGCATTGTACTGTATTACTGTGTAATAACATACAGTAAATCATAAACATGCTTTGTATTATATTGCACAGAACCTAATGTGGTGCATATGATGTTTCTTTGTATTTGTGTGTAGCTCGACCCATATATGGATGAGAACTTCATCAAACAGGCCTTTAGTGCTATGGGAGAGTCTCCATTTGGGGTCAAGATCATCACTCACAGGATAACAGGGTAGGATATATGCATCAGCCTAAATGTATATGTATTAACTCCGCTAGACCACTGAAGTTCTGCTGTGGTATCTGCACCAAGATGTTACCAACAGATCCTTTAGATGATGGAGGCCACACCTCACAACTTGCAGAACTTAGACTTGTTTGTCCAGCACATCCCACAGATGCTTGATTGGATTGACATCTGGGGAATTTGGGAGCCAAGTGAACACCTCAAATTCATTGCTGTGTTCCTGTTATCAGGGCGCATTATCCTCCTGAAATAGCCACACAGCCATCAGGAAAAAGAGTTACCATGAAAGGTTGCACACGGTCTGCAGCACTCATTAGATAGGCGGCAAGTGTCAAAGAGACATTCACATGGATGGCAGGACCCAAAGTTTCCCCGAAGAATATCGCACAAAGCATTACCGGTACTCCACTCTCTCAATTTCTAAGCGTTGCCCATTTCTCCTGCTTGTAACACATCAACTTTGAGGACAAAATGTTCAGTGGCTCCCTAATATATCACCCACCAACAGGTGCCATGATGAAAAGATAATGAGTGCTATTCACTTCATATGTTAGTGGTCATAATGTTATGCCTGATCTGTCTGCGTTTTTTTCCCGCCTCTTTCTCGTTCAACACTAAAAGTAGCTACCGGTTCTGTTCTCTTGTGCAGCGGTTCAGCAGGATACTGCTTTGTGGAGCTGGCAGATGAAGCGAGTGTGGAGCGGTGTGTCCAGAGACTCAACGGGAAACTGGTTCCTGGATCAAACCCGGTCAGTTCTGTAGTGCAGTTGATATTTACTCACATATATTATTCATCATTATTATTTCATCATAAATACAAAAATATTGTTGACATGTAATACCGCCTTCCTTTTTCAGTAGAATTATCAAACAGTACTTAACTGTTGATCTGTGGATAGTGGAGCTCAACTAGTCTTGGTCCTGCTTTGTTAGGACAGAAACACAGTGTTAGGTGCTTAGGAGTCAGTTTAACATCCTGTTGTTATTGTCTCTGTGAACACACCAGATTTTTGTTGCTCTTAGTGCTGTCACTGTGAGGATTTCCCTGTCAGTTTAAACCAGTTTTATCAAGAAGCAAAACTAGTTAAACATCATGTTAAGTGCAGCTGTCTCATACTAACTGCAGAGACGGCTGGTCCAGTTAAGTCTGGTGATGCAAGACAAAAAAAGGCATCCCATCTTTCAAATTTCAGTTCCAAGTGGTTTGGGAAGTTGTGAGCTTTAGCTGCTTGCTCCTTGGTTTGAAATGCTTTTGGCCCCGTGGGCTGGCCAAGCTACTGGGCTCCCCTGTTCACTGGGCTGTATCTGCTGCTGAAGGTGGCTAAGAGGCTTGTACATGAATGTACTTTGTTTGAAGCTGGTGAATAGAGTCTCTGGTAGGAACTAACTGAGGAATGGGCTAAAGGCTGGTCTGGGTGGTGGAGGTATGTAAACCCAAATAACAACCATAGTAACTCCACTTTTTATTTCCAGCAATATCAGTGCTATACTACATGTCTTTGGTGTGTCTGCCTAGCTTAGTGTGTGTTCTTTCTCTTCCTTTGTGCAGCCCCGGAAGTTTAAGCTAAACTATGCCACCTATGGGAAACGGCCAGAAGCAGGGTAAGGCTTTACTTCCATTCAGTCTTTGTTTGCTACATAACTCCAAACTTTTGGAGGCAGTTTTCTGTAGAATTTAGTTCCTCCAGCTAACTTGTCTAGCTGGAGGAAGAGACGGCACAGAAAAGAGGAACGAAAACAACGGACGGCAATCGGGGCAAAAAATAAATGAGAACAGAGAGAAGATAGACGTTAATGACATGCAGCAGTGGCATACAGGTCCATACATTTTTGGACAATAACAGTTTTCTATTGATTTATTTTGTTTTACCCTCAGCCATAAAAGGCTGCTGGGGTGTTGCCATCACCTTGCCAGGTGGGTGGGCGGGCAACATGGGCCACCCACCCTGAGAACGAAGGTAGGAGTTTCAAATTAAGGCCTCTGACCTTGACCTTGAGGTCAAAAAATCTGGTGAATGCAATAACTCAAGAAGGAAGTCATCTAGGATTTAAAAATTGATACTATAGGTATATAGTAAAATGGTTGTAATTCATAAGCGATTAACACAACACTTCACTTGAACACCTCGAATTAAAGCTGAAAGCCTCCATGTCAATCACATTTTGATTGCTTAATTTAAAATCCACTGTGGTGATGTGTAGAAGCAACGTGACAAAAAAAATGTTGTCCATAAACTTCTGGCCCTCATTGTATAAACAGTGAAAGCTGAGGGTGACATGCATCATGGGAGGGGGTCCAGATTGTATTATAGGTAGGAAATGGGCAATTTTCTGATCTAAAACTGAACAAAGTTGTTCCGTAAATTATCCAGCTTCCAGTACACTTCCTGTTTAAATACGAAGGATAACTTTCATAACAGTCCTTATTAAGTGGGATGTGGGCTAAAGCAGTCAACCTATCAGTCTATCATACTGAGTAAGAATATTTGATCTTGCTTCTCTCAGGCCAGAGTTCTCAGTTTTCGTGGGCGACTTGGCTTCTGAGATAGATGACTTCCAGCTGCATCAAGTTTTTAAGAAGTACCCTTCATGCAAAGGAGCCAAAGTAGTCACCGACCAGTATGGATACTCAAGGTACGTCAGCTCATTGAGGTGCACGTGACAGCAGCAGCAGTATTATTCTGTTTGACTGTGAATTTTGTATTTCTTCCTATAGTATGATGTATTGCCTTCTTGTATGAATGTTGTAAGAGTATACTGTAATATTTTTTTTCTGTTTTCTGTGCTATAATAATGATTTGGATAGCAGTGCTATGGACGTTGACCATCAGTGCATCTTCATCTATTTTCGGAAAAAAAAAAGGCTGAAGAAATGTTTTCTTGCCGTCTTAATGCTAAAACTATTGTTTTCCCCATATAGGCTAAGCAAGAGCAACTCACAATTCAAGTGATGCTACCTCATGTTAAAAGTAAAACAACAAGTTTCAGTTCTACCATAATAATACCCATTATATTCTGTTTCTCATTATAAGTGGCTATTAAATGCCAAGTATGGAGTGTGCGTTGGCGGTGCAAAGGAGGCGTAACTGTTCTCTGACTTGCAGAGGCTATGGCTTTGTCAAGTTTGGAGAGGAGAGCGAGCAGAAGAAGGCGATCGAGGAGTGCCAGGGTACAATGCTGGGAGGAAAGCCACTCAGGCTCAGTATTGCTGTTGCAAAGAGGTAAGACCCAGACAAGGATAAGAGAGAATAGAATAGAGAAAGTGCCAAAGAAAATAGGACAGAGGAATTTGGATTCACCTGAACTCAGTTTTATTTACTTGGCGCCAAACCACAACAAAAATCACCACAAGTGATTGTATATTGGTAGGCAAAGATTCTACAATAATGGAGAGGAACACCCCAACATTCATGTGATGGCCTATGAGCAAGCACTTGATGATGGAAAGGAAAAAAAACCTTTTTAACAGGAAGGAGGAAGGAGAACTCTGGCAGAACCAAGCTCAGGGAGGGCCATCTACTACAGTCGGTTAGACTGAGAGGACAGAGAAAAGCAGTGGGAGGTGGGATAAAAAGCACTCTGAATAAGAGAGTCAGAGTTGAATAATGACCAATTGTTAAATGCAGAGTGCTTTATAACCATCGAGGGAAAAGAGGTGAGTGACCAGAGCCTAGGATGATTGTAGCACAGGGTCAGTGCTGGTGAAGGCTTCACTGAGGGCTAGCAAGACAAGAGAAAGAGAAACCTGGGGTTTTTATTATTATCAGGTCTTATTTGATAGTCTTTTAGTAACCAAAAGACTGAACTAAAATTCACACTTTAAAATTCAATCTGCCTCAAAGTCAGCCTGACTGGAAAAATACAGTCATGTAAAATGAAAGTAGACCCTCTTTCAATTTCAAGATTTAGGACATAATAACATAATAGCAAGTCTTAAAATGAGTAAATGCAACCTGAGATGACCAACAATATATTATACTCTCATAATTTACAAAGAACTATGATAATAATCAAATAGATGTAGTTAAGTGTGACCACCTCTGTAAAAGCAGATGTTTTGGCAGTTTGCTGGTCTGGAGAGTTCATGTGTGTTTTAAC